AATATATATATATATATATATATATAGAGAGAGAGAGAGAGAGAGATAGATTTGTTTAGAAATAAAGTTGTAAAATTAAATAAAATGAGTAATAATAACGACGGGGTGTGAATAATTTATGCATTATTTGTCTAATTGATGATGAATATGTTTATCAACATTAAGTATGATTAGTTGTTCAAGCAAGCGTGACCCGATAGTCAACAATAAACGACTACTATGTGAAGAAATATGTGTAATATGTATTGATAATTAGTTATAGGATAATGTGAAATGTTAATAAATGTAATGACATACATAAAAATACATGTTTTAGGAGGTGTAAGCCATCAAAGTCTTGACTCTTGTTGGTTGTCAGTGGAAGCATAGTTCCAATAGTAGTTGGTGATAATTGAGTGTAAATTACAACCTATATATACTCATTCTCTATCTTAATGCCTGTTGTAGACATGGTTGATAAATAAGATTGAAAGATAAATTTTATACATGTTTAGATTAAAAGATAGTCTGATAATATTCGGCATAGAAGGAGGTACCATGCATCCATCAAATAGAATAGACTTCTAAGGTTTTATTGTTGTATGGACTCAAAGTGGGCTTATGAAACTACTTACCGGTTGTTGTCTGCCATTATTTTACTACTTCTTTCATTGCAACTTTTTGCTAGGTAAAAAACTCAAAAAAATAGGAACAAATATTGATGAAAAAACATTTTATATGTTATAATAAAATGACCTAAAACTATAAGTATTGATGAGATGCATACTTTTTGGCGAACTAAGTTAAATTGATAACTTTTAGATAATCTACCAGTCTGTACAATATTGTTCATCTACTTGTAGATGACGGAAAAACTAACATCATTAGCAAATATAAGTGAACATTTCCCTTTCTATTCGTAATACATCCCTTACAAAAATAATAGAGAGCAAGGACGGTCCCAATTTTTTTTTTAAACGGTGACATCATTTGACCATAAAAAAAAAATTAGGGAAAAGTTTTCAAACGATGCCACCGTTTGACTATAAGAAACAAATATACGGAATTTTTTTCAAACGGTGACACTATTTGACCAAGAAAATGATATTAACAAGATTCGAACTTGGATCTGGGTGGAGTAAAAATCTTGCAAATCAATTCTATCAAATAAAATTTGTTCTCATTGTAGTTTCAAAATATATATAGGACACACAACAAATTAATACGGTTGCACCATTCACAAAACCTAATTTTTTTACCCTTCGACGGAGAAATAATACGGTGGCACATGCCACCTATACCACATAGCTGGGTCCGTCCATGATAGAGAGTGAGATTAAAAATTAAAAATATTATAAAATAATTTTCAAGCTCAATGCTAAACAGGAAAAAAATCGCAATAGACCGATCAACATCGATATCATGAAAACCATATGAAAGACACTACTTTTATGAAAGACCCCGGCTTGCAAAACATCATCTTTTCCTGATCTGAAACATGAAAATAAGAAGTCATTGCATACCATCTTCAAATTGTGCAATTTGATATTGGTTTTCTACATTCTTTGTTAAAATCAAGAAATCTTGAATAAATTTGGTGTTAGATCTTGCCGGTTGCCCACTACCCCAAGGGGTAGAGAGATTATTTATGTGAAGACCCCTATCACATTTTCCTGATTCGATACATGAAATCAAGAAGTCATTGCACACGATCTTCATATTTTCTGCAATTTGATATTGGTTTTCTCTATTCTATGTTAAAATCAAGAAATCTTGAATGATGTTATGTTCTTTTATGCATTTTATAGACGTCGACTGTGGAGATAAGTCAAATAATGTATCAAAACGTTAGCGGATCTTCAAAGAGTGCAGATGCAATGAAATTTGCATGCAGTGACACCATGCCTTGCAACAACATAGTGTTGAATAACATCGACTTAGAGAGGCTGGACGGTAAGACGGCTCAGACTTATTGCAACTCGGTTACAAGCATCAACTATGGGTTCATCCAACCTTCTGCTAACTATTTGACCTCTTCCGACAAGTCTTTTATCGAAGAAAACGAGCTC